TTTTTTTTTTTTTTTTTTTTTTTTTTCATAATAGAAATCGTGCTCTAAATAAAACCACAAAACCAAGTCAAATTAAATCAGAATATGACATGAAAAGTTACATATATATATATATATAATGTATATAATATGAATTGTATGATAACAAGTCTTTAATATGTACAGAAATCATGATAAAAATGACTTCAAGTTCGACCCTTTTGAACTCTAACAACATTCTGTTAATTATTATATAATATGAAGAAGACCATTTCACTTCCACAGCTCAATCTGACAACTCGAAGAGGATGTCGGAGGAGCATTTTCTGGAACCATAGGTTGTTGCTTTGAAGCATTCTCTTGGCTGAGCTGAGAAGCAACATATTTATCAAACACACGCCAATCTGTGAGCTGATTCATTGTCTGTTCATTGTTGTTGTTGCTGTCGTCCTCAAACAAAAACAACAAGTTTTGGTCGGAAAGCTGCTGTTGTTGGTGTTGGATGTTTTGCTGTTTTGCTGCAGTTGGTTGGAAGTTGGAGGCTTGTAAGTTGATGTCTAGGGCAAAGGTGTTGGCCAACTTTTGGCTCTCCAAAGTGGGTAAGTGAAGGAAATGGGTTTGGGTTTGGGTTTGACCTAATTGGTAAGGGAAATCCTCCTCCTTCTTGCATGGGAAGTTGGAAAGATGGTGTGGGAAATGGGTGTGTGAGCTTTGATTTGGAGAGTCTAGGTCGGGCATGAACGACACCGGTTCGTCGTACCAACATGGTGATTCGTGCTCGTTCATTCTCCTTACTGTCGCTATTCTCTTCTTAAACACCCTACATACCACCCATCCTTCTTCCTGCGTTCGAAAATCACGTTTAAAACTGTAAAATCAAACATCAAATTGATTTTGAATGATTAAATACATGTTCGGGAGTAGTTCTGATCTCGACTCTTAAAATCACTTCCAAACATGTCATTCTTCCTGTGAAATAGTTAAAATCATTTTTCTAACGTTTAAAAGTGTAAAATCAAACATTAAATTGATTTTGAATGATTAAATACATGTTCGAGAGTAGTTCTGATCCTGACCCTTCAAATTACTTCAAAACATGTCATTTTTCGTGTAAAATAGTTAAAATCACTTTTCTTACGTTTAAAAGTGTAAAATCAAACATCCAATTGATTTTGAATGATTAAAGACATGTTTGAGAGTAGTTCGGATCCCGACTCTTAAAATCACTTCCAAACATGTCATTCTTCGAATGTAACAACTTACTTGTGGAGTGCCATTTTCATCTGTCTCGAGCCGGTACTCATGCATGATCCAATCGGACTTTTGGCCATTAGGAGCTCGACCTTTGTAAAAGACCAAGGTCTTTCTCATGCCAACCAAGTCATGTTTAGAATAGATAGCCTTATCTCTGCCAGTAGCTTTCCAAAATCCAGCTGCAGTTGCTCTATTTGTTCGAGTTCCTGTCGGATATTTCTTGTCCTTGTGACTGAAAAAGTACCATTCATTTTGGTCCTCTGTCCCCAAACTACATATCTCTGTTCATCATCAAGTTTACAAGCTAATTGAGGTTAGCAATGGCAACTCATACATAATTAATGTAATTCTAAGCTAAAAATTTATAATACCTTTGAGATCCCATGGTTCAATTTTGTAAAGGTCTACGTCCTTAATGACATCCAAGTCGATCCGTCTTGAACAAATCTTCTTCCTAAGGTAGTAATCCACAAGTTCTTCGTCGGTCGGGTGGAATCGAAAACCAGGAGGAACATGCAAGAACGTGTTCATCCTTGTATGACGATACTCCTGAAATTTTCATTTTTTAGAAAGTTAAAATCAGTCTAACGAACTTCTAAATAGATATAGTCACCATTGTGTTTTAGTCTCCATTAATTGTTAGCCTAAAATCAAAATAAACATAGTTAAGTTGTAATTAACATAAACTTATATTCTTAAGTTCAGTAGTTCAAATTCATATACTAAATAATTAAGAAGAATTAAAATAGAAAAACTACAACCTATAGAAAACTAACATGGATCATAGGAGTGTTAACAAATGGTTTAGGTATAATTCACAATTATCAACAACTTATATTATAATTTAAGCTAGGGTTTTGTGAATTACGAGGATAAGTAACAACGTTAATACTCGAATGATCTACCAGAAGAAAACATTTTAGACGAATAGAAAATGAAACATTCATGCATCAGAGTATGATCAAGTAAGTAAATTAAATAATTGAAGTAATTTTCATGGTAGAAATTATAGCTTACATTTTGGTTAATATATATCTTTTAATTTCATTAGGAGAAGAGAATGTATGATCCACACACACACATACCCTCAGTTATGATTAAAGTAAACTGTAATCATGAAATTTTTCTATCTTGATTTTTGTTGGGTGCCAATCAATGATCCAAAAAAAAAAAAAAAAAACGTTTCTAGGAATCTTCTCTAACATTTCAAGGAGAGAAAATAGAAAACTTTATGAAATTTAACAAAATTCAACTCTAAATTGACTTTGTTGTGTGTTAGAAAGTGAATCACAAAGATTTTAACACAAAAAAGGTTGAAAATTAATAATACCCAGAAGAGAAAAAGATGATTTATTAAGCTAGAGAGAGAGAGAGCTGACCCAGTAGGTAGAGTTGAATAGAACCCTAGCTTGTCTTGTTTCTGCAATGGTAGGCAAAGAACCTTAACAAACAGATGATCTGAGGTGGTTGCTGGTTGGTTGGTCAGATCAGATCTGAGAGGGAGTGGAAGAAGGGAGAAGAGGTAGGGTTGTTTATATATACAATGTTCTTCAACAAACCCAGAAGAAACCCTGAAAGGGAGTGGCTTCAGCTGAATTGGTGGCCAAGCCTGCTGAGCGAGAGAGACACACAGACAGACACACACACACACAAATGAATGAATGAATGGATGCTTTTAATGGAGTTTATAGAGAGAGAGAGAAGGAAAATGGAAGCTGGTGTGGGAAGTCAGGAGATATCTTCACGGCACAGACCCAATATGCATTCTTTATAACCCCTTTTCCATTACTACACAACCTCTTCTTTTTTTTTCATTCTTTGGTTGTGACGTAATGGAACAGCCACCTCCCCCCGCACCCACAGACCTAGGTTCATTTCTATAAGAAATGCTTCTCTTTCCTCTCCTATCGATGTTCGATTTCACAATTTACACTCCTTAAGTGCCTAACGTTCTTGCTGGCACATCTGTTACAAGTGAGCTTGAGTTGTCTTAACTTGTATTATTCTAGGTACTATTATACCTATTTTAGCTCTCAATTTTCATAAAAAAAATTTAAAGAACATATGCAAAAGGTCAATCATAATATTGCAACCGTAAAAAGAAACTAGGTTTGTTTGAAAGTTTTTATGCAAAATTGACTAAAAAACTATGGATGTCCCTTGTACTCTACGTATGCGAGTTCAGTAACTGATCTTGGATCAAGTTATTAGAGGCTCAAATGTGGAATGGTGGCCCTACAAATGGGTCGAATAATGTTCGTATTCATAGTCCCTACCATTTTTGTTTTCAAACATCTTGTTGGAGTCTGAAGTGCAATGAAACAGAGATGGTGTGATGACGATGGCGGTGGTGAGGGAGAGATCAGAGGCTGATTGCCATCTGCTGCCCTGTTCCTAAGAAATTTCATTGGCTTTAAGGGTCTCATTACCTTCAATTCCCAGCATAACTGCAAAATATCCATAACCACATTTACATATTAAAAAAGATCATAAATTTATAAGCAAGCGTAGCTCGCGAAAACTCCGCTAGAAGAACCAGAGCGGACTGGGTGAGATGGCAGGGCGATTGTGGAAAGTGGGACCCAGGAGGAGAAAATAAAATGATGAGTATACGTGGCGGCACTGGGTCCGGCGTGGGCTAGCCATTATCATTGACCTTGCAACTTGCTGGGTTCTCTGTCGTTCCGGCTGGCGGGGTCCGCCACATGGCCTCTTCTTGTGGGACCCTTTACCTTCTGTTGTCTCATTCTGACTGGGTCCCTTCCCCCGAGGCGAGACTCGTGTCCCCACCTTTTTAATCAGCACCTTAACACGTGGAATTTCCTTTTTCTCCCTTTTTCGAAGAAACATAATTTAAGCTAACAAACCTTTCTTTTCTTTAATTAAAATATAAATAACAAATTTATTTAAAACTCTACCTTTGGAAGAAGTATTTAATAAGTTTAATAAATTTTAAAATTTTAAATTGAAGAAAAGTAAAGGGAAAATAAGAGGGAGCATTGGAAATGAAAAATAAAATCTAAACTTGGAAAAGTTAGAAAAATATTTAAATAAAGAGACGAATTTGATTTGAATGAATTAATTATCATATCTTACTTATGAACAAATAATAAAGAAAATGTAGGAATGATTAAAAATAAATAAATTAAATTAAATAAAATAAAATAAAATTAAAAAAGAGGGAAAGTACAAAACGGACTTTTGGGTAGCGTGGGGTAGCGATCCAATGAAGGCGGTCCCAGGGTACAAATGATGAGATGAGGGGTATGAGCATCATGAGTTTCCGTGCCCGACATTTCGGGCGGGTCTTTCTTCTCTGAGGTGGCATCTTCTGGATGGCAACCAATAGGAATCCATCTCCTCTCGGACCCACCATGACATCATCATTTTCTACCATTTTCATTTTTATTTTTCTTTTTAACAATATATCCCTAACTTCTTTACTTTTTCGTATTATTTATAAAATATGATGTTATTAATTAAATTAAAATTTATAACAAAATGAAAAGGGTTGACTTTTGAGGTAATTAATGAGATTGACAATTAAGTTAATCCAAGCTTAATGTATAGTTTTGGTGACATTTAATGAAATGAGATTTGTTACCTAAGGTTAAAATAATGACATAAATAGGAGGATGTATGATTATATTTTGGTTTATGAGTCGTCTTCAAAATCATTATAACTGCGATTGTATGAAGCATAATCCCGAAATAAATAAAGCTTAAAAAAGTGCTAATGTCCTAAATCATTACAAAATTACATAATTAATCTTACATATTATAGGTTAAGCTTCTTTATTTTACGACGTCATTAATTCTATTAATTACGTTGGTATTTCAAATAACGACAATAATACATGTTCATAAATGAGATCAGGCCCAATGGTTCTGTGAGATACATGGAGGCCCATTGGGCTTTTTTATTGAGACAATTTGGATAATGGATTAAAAATGACCCATTGGGCTTTGCCCTATTTTTTGTGCTCCCTCGTTCTCAAGCTCAGCCCCCTGGTATCGTTTTCTACCTTTCGCGCCTTCCTGTTCTCGCTCAGTTTCTCTTCTCAGTTCTCTGTTTTGCTCTTCCTTATGTAATCTTCAGGTCTCCAAAGCTGCCGGAGTTTATTGCAGGTACTCTTGTGTTTTCGATGAATTCATTCCGGTGTTTAATTTATTGGCCTTTCAAGTTCTCGTTCTTTTTCAGTTTCTGTTGTACTCAATCTCTCTCGGAGCCATTATTTGAACCGATTATTGGAGTTGTAATTTCGTCCTGTTTTGATGAAGTCTTCATCATTCCTCACTAGGTTTACTACGTGAACTCAACTTGCCCCTAATTCCTTACTGTTGCTTGTTGTTACTAGCATTGCGTTTTAGAGATGATACGGGGACGGCCCTGTAAATATTACCTATCTGTGAACTTCAGGAATCTGGTGACGACTTGTACAGTCCCACTTGATCCTCCAGTTACTTCGAGTTCCTCTTCTGCTAGCGAACACAAGACTTTGTGCTATTCCTTAGTGGATCAACTAATTCGTCGTGGCTTGTTTTTGCCGGCGCAACAAGTGATACAACGAATTGTAACGCAATCTTCTTCAATTTCTGAAGCTATTTCTATTGTTGACTTCGCTGCTGAACGGGGTTTGGAGCTTGATTTGGCTACCCATGGTGTGCTTTGCCGGCAGCTTGTCTATTCTAGGCCCCAGTTGGCTGAACTGCTGTACGACAAAAAATTTACATTCGGAGGTGCTGAGCCAGATGCGTCAGTTTTGGACTCTATGGTAACCTGTTTCTGTAGGCTAGGAAAATTTGAGAAGGCACTGGCCTATTTTAATCAACTTCTGTCGTTAAATTATGTCCCAAGTAAATCTTCATTTAATGCTATCTTTCGAGAGCTTTGTGCGCAAGAAAGGGTTTTAGAGGCATTCGACTATTTTATGAGAGTCAATGGAGCTGGTGTTCACTTGGGGTATTGGTGTTTTAATGTCTTGATAGATGGGCTATGCAATAAGGGGCATATGGAGGAAGCTCTTGAATTATTTGATATAATGCAAAGCACTAATGGTTATCCTCCGTCGCTGCATTTGTTTAAGTCATTGTTTTATGGCCTTTGTAAGAGCAAGTGGTTAGTGGAGGCAGAGTTGTTGATCAGAGAAATGGAGTTTCGGAGCCTACATCCTGACAAGACTATGTATACTTCTTTAGTTCATGAATATTGCAAAGATAAGAAAATGAAAATGGCAATGCAAGCCTTTTTTAGAATGATAAAAATAGGCTGTGAACCAGATAATTATACATTAAATACACTGATCCATGGGTTTGTGAAATTAGGTTTAGTCGATAAGGGTTGGTTGGTATATAACCTTATGGCAGAGTGGGGAATCCAACCTGATGTGGTAACTTTTCACATCATGATTAGTCAGTATTGTCAAGAAGGGAAGGTTGACTTTGCATTAACGATTTTGAATAATATGGTCAGCTGCAACATTTCTCCTAGCTTGCATTGTTATACAGTTTTGATTAATGCTCTGCATAGGGATGATAGGTTAGAAGAAGTCAGTGAATTGCTGAAGAGTATGCTGGACAATGGAATCATACCTGATCACGTGCTTTTCTTTACCCTTATGAAGATGTATCCAAAGGGACATGAACTTCAGCTTGCTTTAAATGTTTTGGAGGCCATTTTAAAGAATGGGTGTGGGTGTGATCCTTCTGTAATCTTAGCCAGTACAAAGTTGCAAACATCAAGCAATCTGGAGCAAAAAATTGAAACGCTGCTGCAAGAAATTTTCAATAGCAACTTGAATCTAGCAGGTGTGGCATTTAGTATTGTCATTTGTGCCTTATGTGAGACCGAAAATTTGGATTGTGCTTTGGATTACTTCCATAAAATGGCAAGTCTCGGATGCAAGCCTTTGCTCTTTACTTATAATTCCTTAATTAAATGTCTTTGCAAGGAGGGGCTTTTTGAGGATGCCTTGTCTCTAATTGATCATATGCAGGAATTTAGTTTGCTTCCAGATACCACAACATATTTGATTATTGTTAACGAGTATTGTAGGAAGGGTAACGTTCAAGCAGCATATTATATTCTTAGAAAAATGAGGCAGAGGGGATTGAAACCGAGTGTTGCTATTTATGATTCAATAATTGGTTGTTTAAGTAGGAAAAAGAGAATTTTTGAAGCAGAAGGAGTTTTTAAGATGATGCTTGAAGCGGGTGTGGATCCGGATAAGAATTTGTATTTGACAATGATCAATGGCTATGGTGAAAATGGAAAGCTTCTTGAAGCTCGTGAATTGTTTGAGCAAATGGTTGAGAATTCTATTCCACCAAGCTCTCATATTTATACGGCACTGATTAGTGGTTTGGTTAAAAGAAATATGACTGATAGAGGATGTTTATATCTGGGCAAGATGTTAAGAGATGGGTTTTCACCTAATGCTGTATTGTATACCTCTCTTATCAATCATTACCTAAAGATCGGGGAGGTTGAATATGCCTTTCGATTAGTTGATTTGATGGAAAGGAGCCACATTGAACCCGATGTTATCTTCTATATCACATTAGTCAGTGGTATTTGCAAAAATTTAATTGTCGACAAGAAAAAATGGTTCCTGCTAGAGAAAGAGAATCAAAAGGCAAAAAGTACGTTGTTTCATATGCTCCATGAAACAACTCTTGTTCCAAGGGATAATAATATGATAGTTTCTGCTAATTCTACTGAAGAAATGAAATCCTTGGCATTGAAGCTTATCCAGAAGGTTAAAGATGTATGCATTGTACCTAACTTGCATCTGTACAATAGCATAATATGTGGATATTGTCGGACAGATAGGATGCTGGATGCCAATCATCAGTTGGAATTGATGCAAAAAGAAGGGTTGCATCCAAACCAGGTTACTTTCACGATTCTTATGGATGGGCATATTCTTGCAGGTGATGTTAACTCTGCCATTGGGTTGTTTAATAAGATGAATGTAGATGGGTGTATTCCAGATAAAGTTGCATACAACACTTTACTGAAAGGCCTTTCCCAAGGAGGGAGACTTTCTGATGCATTGGCACTCTCACATACAATGCATAAAAAGGGTTTTCCCCAAGTATACTAGGTTATCGTAATTTTGTGAGGAATTGATGCATGATAAACTCTTGCCTCACTGGAAAAGATGCAAATCGGCCGTCCACATCCTGTGTGGAGAAAATCATTGCAGGAAGCCTGTTTTGCTTTTAATATAAAGCTTGAGAGGAGCACACACACAAAAAAAAAAAAAACCAAATAGGTATTTGGTGGATTCATGGATGAAATTAGATGGGTCATCATCGTATAAAATGCAATATCAAGACAGACTCAGACATGACACAATCATTGAAAACGGAGGTTAGTGATGAAGATTCACATGGATTCTCTTTAAAAAAAATTTCTTTTTCCCCTCTCAACCTTTTCCTGTTGCCTTTCTGGTCACTATTTTTGTACAAGTTTTTTTTTTCTGAACAAGACCTATCCAGTCAACATATATATATATATATATATATATTATTGCAGATGTTCATTTGTAGCTGTTTGACTTTAGCAAGATCCTTGTCTGCAACACTTTCCCATGGAAATCTTGGAATTTGCAATGTATAGGTAATTTGAATATTAACTTATTGCACATATGTAATTAAATTTTCGTACCAACTTTTGGCTTATTACCTTGTAAACCCCTCACGGTTACTTGTATAACAAATCTCCCATTCATGTTCCTTTTTGCAGCTTCCTCTAGAGCCTCTCCTACTATCTTCTGGTTACCCGACCTGTCCTGAGCCACCTCAAGGTCCGACTTTGTTGATGACTGCAGTATCCTTTGTCACCACCAAAAAGCCAACTTGGAAAGCCCTTTTTATATGTTTCCTTCCCCAGGCCAGCTGAAGCATTGTTAATAGCCAAGCTGTTGCTTATCAGCTTTGTGACATTGTTCGATGTGATCAGCGGCAATACATAATCCGAAACATTAAGCTCAGCAAACCCTGTGCGGCATGTTTCAAGGTTTGTTAGAGCAGTAATGAGCAGGCTTGGATATCTAACGAAGTACATTTAGTAGATGAATCTAGAGCGTGGTTGAGCTGAAGGATGGTGTTTCGGTAGAGCTTCAAGCAATCAGCCAAAGCAAGCCTTTTCCTTCCCATTTTGGCACTTTGAATTGACACCCTTAGTGTGGCTTTCGGCACTCAGGGCTCTCTCCATGGCAGATTGGATGACCTTTGGGCGCAGCCTTGCTGCCATGGTTGAAAAAGTGCTCGCAGGTTGTTGGGTACGTGATTTTTCCACACCACCAATCAATGTCATTAGAGGCTTGCTTGGGAAAGGCTGGTGAAGTCAGTAAAAAGAACTAAGAAACAAGAGCATCCCGAGACTCCTCTCCATTGAAAGAGCAGACCTTCCTTGCTTTGATGATGCTATGCTAGCTCACTCAGGTTTGGTTACGTGGGAAAGAAGAGACAGGTTGGCTGAGTTTGAACATGGAGAAAATAATGCAGTTTCAATGATCAAAATCCGAAACTTCCATTCATGTGTCAAACATATATCTGCACCAGAACTCCTAACTTCGTCAAACTATGCTCAACTCATCGAATTAGAATTAAATTATTTTTTGACATTCATGCTAGTAGTTGGACCTGTATTGAAACTATGCTCTTTTGTGGCTTTGTGGAACGAAACCACGTTGTTGGAAGATTTGTTTGTTTCTCATCTCGAACGCTCATTTAGTGTAACAAAATAAAATTATAATATTTAAAATATATAAGGGCAAAATTGACATAAATGGTAAATATATATACACACACGGTTGTTTGTTTGTAGTTTTAAGATATAGGGTCTGCAGAAAACCACTATAACCGAGAAACCAAACGAACCATCCGGTTCGTACTGGAAAGAAGAATAACGCCGGTCGGAAGGCCCAGTGGAACCGATGGCTCTGATTTTTCCTATCGCATGGTCGTCGATTCTCGTAAGTTCCCTCAATTTCTTCTACTAATTTCTGTTAGACTGTTGAGCAATCATGTATGACAATAAGTTGATTGATATGAATGAGAAAAACTTTTGTTTTCGTCTTTGTTTGGTCCTCATTGGTGCCATGTTTCTGCTCAGCTTTTGGGTAAGTGGAAGAGGATTTTCTAGCTCTCGTTTTTCAGGCATTGGAACAGGAAATGGGATTCCTTTAGCTATTTTAATTGTCTTATTCAAATCAATTTCGGTTCTTCTGACGGGTTCTTCCAATTCTAGGATATCAAAAGGCTGCCAAGGGGAAATCTCGTTTCTACAACCTGATTTTAGCTCAGGTACATGCATTATATTGCTTTTACAGAAAATTTTGTGTACGTTTACTATCTGAATACTTATATTTTCTTTCACTTGTAGTGAAAAAAATCCTGAAACTTAACGAAGATTGATGGCAGACAGTAGATAGTAGATGTCCTACTATGTCTAAAATGGTTGCCGATTTTTGTTTTCAAGATATAACTCACATTGTAATTTAGAAGCACCGTGACATGTGTATTAATTTAGTAAAAAACCAGTATCCTATTTATACATGCAATGAATTCTCGATTGAGTACATATAAGATCATTGTTCTGTTTCAAGAAATTGGAGTTAAACTATGATATAGAACCAGATTGCCCAGCTGCAAATGCTGTAGTCTCTATCCAATTTCCAGTCAAATCGACACTATGATGCTACTATTCTTGTGTCAAAAATGTAAAGGCCATGCTTTTCAACAGAAGTGGATCCATTAATAGTTATGTTTGGTTTTAAGGAAAAGATTATTTAAAGCCAATAAAAATGGTGAGACATTTTCAATTTGATAGTAGTGTGATAAAGCCTCTGTTCCTGTGAGATCCCACGTTGGTTGAGAGGGGAACAAAATATTTTTTATATGGGCGTGGAAACCTCTTCCTAATAAACGTGTTTTAAAATCGTGAGGTAGAAGACGATAAGTAACGGGCCAAATTAGACAATATCTACTAGCAGTGAGCTTGGACTGTTACAAATGGTATTAGAGCCAGACACCGGGCGGTGTGCCAGCAAGGATGTTGGACTCCCAAGGTGGGTGGATTGTGAGATCTCACATCGATTGGAGAGGGGAACGAAACATTCTTTATAAGGGTCTAGAAACCTCTCCCTAGTAGATGCGTCTTAAAACTGTGAGGCTGACAACTATATGTACGGGCCAAAGGGAACAATATCTGCTAGCGGTAGGTTTGGGCTGTTACAGTTCCTGACATCCTTGGACATCCAAGGATATCGAGATCAGTAATTTCCTAGTTCCTCTCACATTGTCTTTAATTGCTTGTGATATGAGTTAAATGTTTTTCAGAGGGCATGTCTGCTGGAAGTTTGGTGCTGACTAAGGGTACCGTATGACTGTCACCCAAGTATCATGAAGGTGTATTGTCTGTGTGATTAATAAAGCTTTCATGAAATACTTGGTTCAATTTTTTCTTCAAGTTCTTTCGTCTTTGGTTTGACTGACTGGAATGCTTCCTAGTTCCTCTATTGAAATCAATGAACATTTATATCTACTATTTGAAATCAGACGAATGAAGCTGGAAGAGTTTGGCGGTGACATAAAACCTCATATAATGATCTTATAATGTATGCTTACCTTTGTGATGTTGGTTTTTACTGCTGCAGGTTATTATTCACCTATGTGCAGTGGTATACTTGTTTATATTAACATCAAAGAAAGGGACTCTTGATAAACTTGCTATTTCATCTGCCATCACTGGTTTCTTTTCGTTGTTCGTTGGAGAACTAGGTCGCTAGTGATACTCTAACCTCTTGCACCTATTTTCATACACAACTTTATATGTTTCAACATTAATGGTTGATTATTTTCCAATGTACAGGCCGAAGGCACAGCCGAGCAAACTTCTTGAAAGTATATATGACTGCCTCATCTCTTGCACTCCTACTGCTTCTTTTTGATGTCTCTCAGGGTAATTACACGTTTGAGGTATGGAAAACTAATCCATTTTCCGCTGTGCTGCTCTAAGAGAGAAATCAAATGGAAAGGTTATCGAGCAAAAGCTTAACTGGAATTGTTATGCATGTTGACTAGTTGAAGAAGCAATAGCAATGGAGACGATAAATAAATTGGTGGATTAAAATTTAGATAGGGATTCATATGTGAGATCGCATATTGGTTGGAGAGGAGACTGAAATATTGTTTATAAGAGTGTGGAAACCTCTCTCTAGTAGATGCGTTTTAAAAACCTTGAGCAGAAGCCTGACAGAAAAAATATAAAGAAGACAATATTTGCTAGCGATGGACTTGAGTTATTGCAAATGGTATCAGAGCCAGACATTGGGCGATGTACCAGCGAGGAGGCTGAGCCTCGAAGGGGGTGGACACAAGGCGGCATGTCAGCGAGGACGGTGGGCCCCGAAAGGTGATGGATTGTGAGATCCCATATTGGTTGGAGAGGAGAACGAAACATTCTTTATAAGAGTGTAGAAACCTCTCTCTAGTAGACGCATTCTAAAAACCTTGAGGGGAAGCTCGGAAGGGAAAATCCAAATAGGACAATATCTGCTAGTGGTGAACTTGGGCTACTTCACCATCTTTGTATTTCCCATTAATGAGCATGCCTTCTTCAAGCTTTTATAGTTGTTGAGACTGCATAGATTCATTGTTAGCTTTGTTACCCTTGGCATCTATACTTGAAAATGGTGGGAAGCTTCATTTTGATTGGCTGATTGTTTCTATAACTCTGGCCTTTGATCACAGCTTCCATGTGGTAATGTCTGTTATGAATGGTGCTTTATTCTTCATTCTAACTGAGTTTGGACTCTTATGAACCATTTAGGGTATGGGGGATCTAAGTAATTGGAAGGCGAAAAAGCTCGAACTTTTCGAGATGATCCACATTTGTCTTGGTGGGTTTCACATTACATAGGTTATCTTCATTGTTTTCATATTCACAAGTAAGAACTAAGAGTGGAATTCTGATATGTGTTCATACAGGGGCTCTGCTTCAGATATTTGCAACCAGCACAGTGATTTCCCTCGTCGGTAACATGTCTCTTCCAAAACGTGCCTCTTAATTATTGTGTACCAAACTATTGTCCTTCTAACGACCAGGAAAGATCTCTCTGCTGTTTCCTTCTCGATTCTGAATCCAAAAATCATGCACGAGAAGGCTTGGATTTGTCTTGTCTCTCTAAATCATTATTACAGAAATGTTTCACTTGGATGTTGAAATTGGTGGAGTAAAATATAAGGGTATAAACAAATTTTTCTGGCATTTTCTTTTGTTATGGGATTGACAATGATTGAACTCTTTTGTTGACATGCTTAAAATACGCCTTCAATTATGCTGAATTAGTGTTCTTCAGCGGAAAAAATCTCTTCGAATCTGCTTTCTCTTTTCTTTTTGAACAATGAAGTTAGCAGTTTATGCCACTTGCTTTTTTGAAATCATTTTGATTTTTATTTTTTGTTCACATGTTCTTGCTGTTCTTTGTGGACAGATTTTCGTTAATTTTTTGTTTAGAGTCTTCAAATCTCTCGTGAAAGAGATTTTTTTTTTTTTTCTTTGAAACTGTTTTTCTTTCCAATAATTTTGAATCACTCTGAGTGTTTGGTTTATTTCATAATCATGAATAGTATTATACAGTTTGGTTTTACCGTTAGCATACGAAAAAAAGATGATGTGACATTTTTAACTCTTTTCTTACCGACCCTACCTCCACTGCTACCCCTTACAATTGTTGGCACCCATTGCCCCTATGCTTTCACTATCGATCTCTCTCTCTTTCTTTATTTGTTTTACTACTTTAGTGTGACCCATAATGGGTTCGTGTGTTGGTCGACAACAACTTACCAAGGTAATGGTTAGTAGCTGGTTTGACGAACAACGAGTCATATCAAGATTAAAATAAAATAAAATATTTTTAGGATATTTGATTGCATCTCAAGTTGTACCAAAGAAAGAAGAGTCTGTCGCGTGACAAAATGTGATTAAACTATGTAGACTACATAATGCACCAAGAATTCGATTTTTTCTCCAACCATCTTCACACGAACCCTAGTTAACTTCAATACATTAAAAATACAATAATACATACCCCATGCCAATAATAATGCAAAAATAATTTAAACTTCCACACAAACCCTAATTAAACCTATTACTATGTATACAAAATAAGGCAAAACCTCCACTCCCTTAACCAAATATATCATACTTACAGTTGCATTGAAATCTCACACAAATTTAAGTATAGTAACACCAAATTCTAATGCAGCTCTGCAATCCGGTTGATCAAAGACAGAGCATTGCTGGTCAATTGCGCAATGTTCACAATCCTCCTCCTAACCGCCGCCTTAACGCCGCCCTTGACAGCCTTCCCTTGAAACCCCTCACTACAAGTGGTCTCATCGGTGAGGGCGGCGCTGACCCATGTCTGAACATCGCTCATAACGAGATCAAAGTCATGGCCACGTAGCTTGGGCATCTCGGAAATGGAGCTGGCAAGGGAGTCAACAGAGTCACTGAGCTCTTCCAAACAGTCGTTAAGAGCAGAGACGTCTCTTGTAGGGAGGCCGTGGGCGTGGGAGAGCTTGAGGATTTGGGTGGCGGCGGACTTGACGGAGGAGAGGGTGACGGAGAGGGCGGTGGTGGCCAAAAGGCGAGGGCTTGTTTGGATGGAATTGGCGTGGATTGAAAGAGATGAG